TCAGACGTTTACCACTTTGATGAAACACACGAGCAAGGGTATGGTGCTGAAGAACCTAGAAACGTAGTGTGGGCGAACCGGGATTCGAACCCACAATCATAGGTTTCTGACGGCCTAAGGGACGCAATTCTGCACAGACATATGCGGAGCCTTAGACGACTGTGCCCCAGGTCAGTAGAAACGTTAGCCTGCGAGTATTTCTGAACTTTGTCAACTATTGTTGGGGTATAAACTCGATTAAGACACCAGTGCACTATGAAACCCCGTCGTCTCAAGGAAGTCGGCTGACAACGTGTAAAATGTCAGCGATGATTTAAATAATAGATTTCTTAAAAAATCATCTAATGGAAAATTTAACATTTTGGAAACATTTCTTAATGTTGTGGTGTAAGTTCTTTTTATTACGTTGCCAGGCAGCAATGACGATGCTGCTGCTTAAACTCTACAGATGCAGGGGGTTAATCACACGCCGTCTCAACTTTGCATCCATACAGTTCGCGTTTCTTTGGCAATTTTAGAAATAAAGATAGACGAGCAGATCTAATATTGTAACAGGACATGAAAATACAAGCGTACACACCAGCCTTCGCTTACCACAGAGGAAACTTTCAAGTGCTAACATAGGGCGCGGGTTCTGTAGAGTTGCCTCCCTTCAGTGTGCCAGGATCCTATGACCGTGGAAACGAATCCCAGGTGTGTGCTGATAATGATCCTTGGGTTTTCTTCACCCTACCCATGCTCGTGGGTGGTGAACTTTGTCGGCCTGCATCTCTTGTGCTTCCTTTTTTCAGACAGTTGTGTGAGTTGTGGGTGCTACCGGTAGAGTAGGCCATCCTTATCCGTCTCTCGAACACCTGGCGTCATCACTTTTTTTATGTGATCCTTTCAGATAATATTCACCGCTATTTTGCCTTTACGCCCAATAGAATCTGTTTCTGTGGAAAATGGAGACTGGTGATTCTCTAGCGTACACGTTTTATATTTCCTTCCTCATCAAACTGACTAATGTTGACAGAAGCACTGCTACACCAACTCACTCACTCACTCCAACTGATGACATCCTCCATCACATGACCGTGTAGAACCCTGGTCCATCGACATCACAGAGAGCGGAACTCCAGTCATTTCCAGAGGAAATTGTCTCCCCGAGTTCCAGCAGTTATGGAAATACCATGTTTATTCCATCCACTCCAGGGCAGTGTATTCGGACATTTTTATACATTTTTTACCGACATATTGCCGCAAGATGGCAGACTTTGCGAGCACCATGGTGATGGAAATACTCTCTGTGGTCGTCTTTGATCGCCTCACTCAATAACTGTGGAGGCGATATTTGGCCATGCAGATGCTTTTAAACTTTCATCGTCCTTCATATATCTTGAAAATATTCTTGAGTTGAGGATGGTAGTATGGTTGCCGGAAGTTGTTCTGCGCATGCGCGAAAAGGGCATTGTGGGTAATGCGTGCGCCTCCAAGATGGCGGCACTTCCGGTTCCGGGGGAGGGGCGTGTGCGCCTCCAAGATGGTGGCACCTACGGTCCCGAGGGGGCATCTCCCCATCCAAGATGGCGGCTCGGCGCATCCAAGATGGCGGCGGCGGGAAGGCGGGAGAGCGGGAAGGCGGGAGGAGGAGGCGGGAGGCGGGAAGGAGGAGGAGGGAGGAGGGAGGAGGAGGGAGGGAGGGTCTTCTTGGGTCTTAGAATCCAATATGGACGACAAACAGGCAGACGCTCAATCCACAAGACCAGTCCAGAATTCTTACGTTTCTATCTTAAGACACTACGCCATCTTTATATCACATAGATAAGAATGGTGTCGTGGCGTCAGATGGAGTCTTGACGACTCTTGGTGAGATGTTGAGACAGTCTTTGATGGTCACCCAGCATAACATCGCCACCCCAGAGGATATATAGACCCGGAATCACGTTAGTATCGACCTTTCCGTCTCCGACACCCACACAACTCGCTCACGTCAGATCGTCACCATCGTTTCCCCAAGACTATACACGGCGTGGAGAAGCTTCCGTCCACTGACGAGACGCGTCGGATACTAATATTGTGCTTCAGTTTTCTTTATATACTTTAAAGGGATTACAGTAATGTATCGAACCCGGATATTCGACATGACGAGCGAACGCCTAAACCACTAGGCTACTCCACAAGCCAACAGGTCTATCAAGAGGGTTGTGAGACAGACACGTTCCCATTTCTTCCCTTGAGACGTGGATCTCAGACACTTTGTATATTATCTAATGTCTAATCAATTAAAAAAACTTTAACAATAGTTTGTATGGACTTTGCAATTATCAGGCTTTAGGGTAGATAGAGACAGTTAGATGAAAGTCTTATTCATATATACTGAACCGCAAAAGAAACGTCACCATCAATAGATATATGAGAAATCTAATTTGTCCAAACACTGTAAACATACTTTGAGACATATTAAAAAGATGAAACTTGACAAAACTGATCATTAAGGTTGAAATTAAAGTGTCAAATGTTCTTAAAGTGAAACACAACACTAGACTCTGAGAAAATGGCATCACCAGTCAGTATCTCGTGTGTCCGCCATTTGTATTGATGACTGCCGTGCAACGTCGATACATGGAATGGGTGAAGCAGTTGATGAAGGCCATAAGCTCTTGAGCCCACACTCTGAAGAACACCTGACGCAGTTCAGCTGCAGTTGTCGGCCTTGGTCAGGCGTCATTCAGCCGTCTTTGATCTCGTCCCAATGGGATATAAATCGGGACTGACGGCAGGCCACTGCATGGTTCTGATGCCATTCTGCTGGAGGAAGTCTTTTTGTTGCTCTCGCAGAGTGGGCACGGGCGTTATCATGCTGAAACTCGTGGTTGCGTCGACATGCCAAATGAGGTATGGCGTGTGGTCTCAAGACTTGATCAATGTACGGAGCTGCTGTGACACCATTGCCTCTCCCTGGACCGACGTTCTGTAAGACCACAGGGCCGACCCTCTGTGCAAGACCAATTCCACCCCACACCATGACCACCCCACGAGTCTCTCTCAACAACACAAGTATCCGAATAACGTTCCCCAATGCATTGGCCACTTGCCGGGCCGTTTGTCCAGCTTGCAATCGTCCAATGGCTTGGTGTCGCTGATTTCTTGTCAATCTTGGTATGTGGTAGCAATTCAATAACGAATGAATGTTATCTGATCTGGGTGGATTTTTATAGGGCAAGAAATGGGGGAGCGCATGTGCATTTCAATACTCCAGATATTCCAGGTATATGACGGCGATAAATAATCGAGTCTGGACCAGACAATCCAGTGGTTGACATCATGAGCAACGATCAACGCACTAAGGATACGATGACATGCATCAACCAAGTCAGCGAACCTGACCACCCGATCCCGTTAATCGGAGACAAGCATAGTCGCCTTTTACGACAAGCATGGGTTGCTGAAGACCTATTCTACCACGGATCTCCACGGGTCAGGGACAGAAATGACGACACGCTTCCTCGGCAGTTCATCAAGTTTGTCTATGTCCAAAGGTCACAGGCCCCTGCTTGTCACAGCGAAACAATTTGGTCAGTTGGCTCAAGTTTTGTGGATCTACCTCTATGACATCGTGCAATGTCCACAACGAAAGATTGAACTATTACGTAATTCCTTCTGTGTGAGGGCTTAGAACTTATCAGTCAACCCTCGTATCATACACGCTGGAGAAGGAGGTCTCGCTCCTGGAAGTGCAGACACTTAATTAGTGCTTGTTGTACCCAAGGTCTCGTCGCCTGCCAAAGACCAGGTAGATGATTGTACCGTCTCTCGCCCCGCGCAGCCTTGTCCTCTTGGATGCTTCTGACAGACATCAACAGCGTCACTTCCGGGAGACGGAAAACAGAAGAGGAAATCGCGGGAAACCTCGCGTGGCTTATAGTAGAAAAAGAGAAGGCTTGTAGCAGAACGTAGCTGGATCTGAGAACATGGCTTTTGTGAACCATCAACAATCAGGATGAGGGCTGTTAGGTCAATCAAGCAAACATCTCACATATTGTGCATTTTCAGAAATTACATTTTAATAGCTGAATTGACGATGCCGGGTTGACACTCCGACTCAACCGTGCCAGCAAAAGGGCAGGATAATGACATTTACCTTATGTGTATTTGATAAACAGTAAACAGATGCGCCACACCGGCCGACTACTCCTAATGCCATCCACAGCTGGGTGTAAATATTCAAGGAGAAACTCGAAAATGTGTCACATCAATGTTTCATGTGTTGAAGCTATTTAATTGTAGCGACAATTATCCGGCTGGCATTCATAGTGTATAAAATTCCCCAAAATATCAGTCAGACAACGGGATTGGCAACTTTGCAAAGTTACCAGACCAGATGGAATGTTGCCAGTCCAGAATTTTCTAGACCAACGAACAAAAGCAACAAAGGGGAAAACAAATGAATAGTACCGTTTCATGTTAGTTCTCCGAAAATAACAATAATGTGGTAGCTTATCAGCTTAGTAACTGATACTGACCGTCCGTCAGTAAAATAGACCGTCTCGGGAGGTCGGGCAAGCGGGTATTCACAGTTCGGAGTTCTACAGACAGCATCGACAGAATCGTTACAATCGGGATTGTTACTGTAGTGACACTCGAAATATTGAGAAAAGTGTTTTCAGCGCTATGCATGTATAAAATGGTAGAAGATGCTATTCTGGCTTTGCAGCTGGCTGTTATATTCACAGAAAGAAATCAACAGAATCCTGACGCTTGAGATAGATTTGCCATGGAGATGACGCTGTCTTTCTTTAAGTTCAGAATTGCTTTCCTGTAAATTGACCGATTTGTGATGCAAATGTAGCACTTTCACACCTTAAGATATTGGATGTTAGAGAACATCCACTGTATGGGGATGTAGGATGTTAATTGGAAATGTAGTTTTTTGTTCACGTCGTACTCAACAAAATTTCATCTATATGTCGGAGGCTTGTAGATAATCGATTCTTGGCCAGACAAACCAGTGATGAATATTATATGAACAACGATCTCAAGTCTAATGAGGAATGAGTATGTAGGATGGTGCTGTAGGGTGGTGCTGTAGGATGGTGCTGTAGGAGGTGCTGTAGGATGGTTCTGTAGGATGGTGCTGTGGGATGGTGCTGTGGGAGGGTGCTGTGGGATAGTGCTGAAGGATGGTGCTGTGGGATGGTGCTGTAGGAGGGTGCTGTAGGATGGTGCTGAAGGATGGTGCTGTGGGATGGTGCTGTAGGAGGGTGCTGTAGGATGGTGTTGTAGGGTGGTGCTGTAGGATGGTGCTGTAGCGTGGTGCTGTAGGATGGTGTTGTAGGGTGGTGCTGTAGGATAGTGTTGTAGGGTGGTGCTGTAGGATAGTGTTGTAGCGTGGTGCTGTAGGATGGTGTTGTAGGGTGGTGCTGTAGGATGGTGTTGTAACGTGGTGCTGTAGGATGGTGTTGTAGGGTGGTGCTGTAGGATGGTGTTGTAGGGTGGTGCTGTAGGATGATGTTGTAGGGTGGTGCTGTAGGATAGTGTTGTAGGGTGGTGCTGTAGGATAGTGTTGTAGCGTGATGCTGTAGGATAGTGTTGTAGGGTGGTGCTGTAGGATAGTGTTGTAGCGTGGTGCTGTAGGATGGTGTTGTAGGGTGGTGCTGTAGGATAGTGTTGTAGCGTGGTGCTGTAGGATGATGTTGTAGCGTGGTGCTGTAGGATGGTGTTGTAGCGTGGTGCTTTAGGATGGTGTTGTAGGGTGGTGCTGTAGGATAGTGTTGTAGCGTGGTGCTGTAGGATGGTGTTGTAGCGTGGTGCTGTAGGATGGTGTTGTAGGGTGGTGCTGTAGGATAGTGTTGTAGCGTGGTGCTGTAGGATGGTGTTGTAGCGTGGTGCTGAAGGATGGTGTTGTAGGGTGGTGCTGTAGGATGGTTCTGTAGGATGGTGCTGTGTGATGTATGATAGTGCTGAAGGATGGTTCTGTGGGATGGTGCTGAAGGATGGTGCTGTAGGATAGTGCTGAAGGATGGTGCTGTAGGATGGTGCTGTAGGATGGTGTTGTAGGGTGGTGCTGTAGGATGGTGTTGTAGGGTGGTGCTGTAGGATAGTGTTGTAGGGTGGTGCTGTAGGATAGTGTTGTAGCGTGATGCTGTAGGATAGTGTTGTAGGGTGGTGCTGTAGGATAGTGTTGTAGCGTGGTGCTGTAGGATGGTGTTGTAGGGTGGTGCTGTAGGATAGTGTTGTAGCGTGGTGCTGTAGGATGATGTTGTAGCGTGGTGCTGTAGGATGGTGTTGTAGCGTGGTGCTTTAGGATGGTGTTGTAGCGTGGTGCTGTAGGATGGTGTTGTAGCGTGGTGCTGTAGGATGGTGTTGTAGGGTGGTGCTGTAGGATAGTGTTGTAGCGTGGTGCTGTAGGATGGTGTTGTAGCGTGGTGCTGTAGGATAGTGTTGTAGGGTGGTGCTGTAGGATAGTGTTGTAGCGTGGTGCTGTAGGATGGTGTTGTAGCGTGGTGCTGTAGGATGGTGTTGTAGGGTGGTGCTGTAGGATGGTGTTGTAGGGTGGTGCTGTAGGATAGTGTTGTAGCGTGGTGCTGTAGGATGGTGTTGTAGCGTGGTGCTGTAGGATGGTGTTGTAGCGTGGTGCTGTAGGATGGTGTTGTAGGGTGGTGCTGTAGGATAGTGTTGTAGCGTGGTGCTGTAGGATGGTGTTGTAGCGTGGTGCTGTAGGATGGTGTTGTAGGGTGGTGCTGTAGGATGGTGTTGTAGCGTGGTGCTGTAGGATGGTGTTGTAGCGTGGTGCTGAAGGATGGTGTTGTAGGGTGGTGCTGTAGGATGGTTCTGTAGGATGGTGCTGTGTGATGTATGATAGTGCTGAAGGATGGTTCTGTGGGATGGTGCTGAAGGATGGTGCTGTAGGATAGTGCTGAAGGATGGTGCTGTAGGATGGTGCTGCAGGATGGTGCTGTGGGATGGTGTTGTGGGATGGTGCTGTAGGATGGTGCTGTGTGATGTATGATAGTGCTGAAGGATGGTTCTGTGGGATGGTGCTGAAGGATGGTGCTGTAGGATAGTGCTGTGGGATTGTGCTGTAGGATGGTGCTGTGTGATGTAGGATAGTGCTGAAGGATGGTGCTGTAGGATGGTGCTGTAGGATGGTGCTGCAGGACGGTGCTGTAGGATGTTACTGTGGGATGGTGTTGTAGGATGGTGCTGTGGGATTGTGCTGTAGGATGGTGCTGTGTGATGTAGGATAGTGCTGAAGGATGGTGCTGAAGGATGGTGCTATAGGATAGTGCTGTAGGATGGTGCTGCAGGACGGTGCTGTAGGATGTTACTGTGGGATGGTGCTGTAGGATGGTACTGTGTGATGTATGATAGTGCTGTAGGATGGTTCTGTAGGATGGTGCTGAAGGATGGTGCTGTAGGATAGTGCTGTAGGATGTTGCTGTAGGATGGTGCTGTAGGATGGTGCTGTAGGATGGTGCTGTGTGATGTATGATAGTGCTGTAGGATGGTGCTGTAGGATGGTGCTGCAGGACGGTGCTATAGGATGTTGCTGTGGGATGGTGCTGTATGATGGTGCTGTGGGATGTATGATAGTGCTGAAGGATGGTTCTGTGGGATGTCGGATCTTGTAGGAGGATGGTCAAGGGCGCTCAGGTAAGATTTGAAAGTAGAGTTTGAATCCGGGAGGCCGATGTAAGCTCGGAAGTGACTGCTGCTTTGAAGAGTATTTCAGTTACAGGATCGATTCACGTGTGACATGGGGGCGGGTCAGCGTGATGTTAGAGGACAGGGATGTAGGTGTCACAGGATCACCAATGTCGTGAAACCCACGAGCTGACAAACCATGAAACATAATCCGGGTGAACCTGGGATTCGAACCCACGATCTGAGGTTTCTGACACGCCAAAGGGACGCAGCTTTGCACTCTGAATTGCGGCAAGTTCGACAATGAGCCACCCCCTGAAACGAATGGACACCAACACAAATAGATGTGGATATTTATGATCTAAGTCTTCTTGGAATGATTGGAATTGACATAAAATTAAGTTTCTGTACGTCAGATAAGTAAGGTGACAGTTGCTTGAATGTACAACGGTTTTGATCAGCCATTATCGTAAACGATATGGTTATTTGAATGTCAAGGTCATCTTTGATCTGATCGTCTGCTACGCCTGCTTCTGTAGCAGAATATTCAGAAAAACACTGTATCCTCCTCGATCAGGCTCCGTGGCCCGTAAACATGGAATAACCATAACTCTTGCCCCACTAGTTAGTACTGGCAATGGATGCTGCACATGCAGGTCTAGCAGAAAATGAGGCTTTTTATCCTGGTGTAAATCAATGGGTTTGTATTGATTTCCGAGATATAAACATGTCCATAGTAACACTTTCCTGAAAACAGTCACTTGCACGCAACGACAGTCTCTGTGTAGGTGGCCCTGGAGGCTGGGGGCAAAGAGATCCCTGGCATGTGATTGACACTGCGGGATTCAGCAGGGCTGCACAATGTTGGATCAGATCCCCAGCTTCCAGTGCGGTTTGTTACATAGCTGTCATCGCCATAATGACCCGTTTGCTCAACCCCCCAGGTAATAACGTTTGAAATATAGTTGATGGGATGTGTGGCTCTCCTACGTGTACACAGAAGACAGCATTAAGTGTCAGCACAAATAGGTGTTGATAGCAGGCATCCGTTGTAAATTTGTTGTAAAACAATTAATTAACAATTAATTAACAATTAATTAACAAAAACAATTTTCTTAAAGTCTGACCTGTCCCCAGGTAGAGAAGCGCAGTGGTTTGGTTGCCACTGGAGACCCAGGTTGTTTGGACACGTTGATATCATGATGACGATCCTTCATGTCCTGGTGTGTGGTACAGCTGCAGTGTCATAGATATGTCCAGTGTCATAGCATCCTTCAGCACAGTGTGTGCGAGTTGGTATGTGTGTGTGTGTGTGTGAGAGAGAGAGGGTGTGTGTTTTTGTTTGCGAGTTGGTATGTGAGAGAGAGGGTGTGTGTTTGTGTGCGAGTTGGGATGTGTGTGTGTGTGTGTGTGTGAGAGAGAGAGAGAGAGAGAGAGAGAGAGAGAGAGAGAGAGAGAGAGAGAGATGGTGTTTGTTTGTGTCTATGTATGAGGTGTGTGAGATGGTGTGTGTCTGATGGTGTACATGTGTGTGCGAGTTGGTATGTGTGTGTGTGAGAGGGAGATGGTGTGTGTCTGTGTGTATGTATGAGGTGTGTGAGATGGTGTGTGTCTGTGATGGTGTACGTGTGTGTGCGAGTTGGTATGTGTGTGTGTGAGAGAGAGAGATGGTGTGTGTGTGTGTGATGGTGTACGTGTGTGTGCGAGTTGGTATGTGTGTGTGAGAGAGGGAGATGGTGTGTGTCTGTGATGGTGTACGTGTGTGTGCGAGTTTGTATGTGTGTGTGTGAGAGAGAGATGGTGTGTGTCTGTGATGGTGTACGTGTGTATGCGAGTTGGTATGTGTGTGAGTGAGAGGGATATGGTATGTGTGTGTGTGAGAGAGAGAGAGATGGTGTGTGTGTGATGGTATACGTGTGTGTGCGAGTTGGTATGTGTGTGTGTGAGAGAGAGATGGTGTGTGTCTGTGATGGTGTACGTGTGTATGGGAGTTGGTATGTGTGTGAGTGAGAGGGATATGGTATGTGTGTGTGAGAGAGAGAGAGATGGTGTGTGTGTGATGGTATACGTGTGTGTGCGAGTTGGTATGTGTGTGTGTGAGAGGGAGATGGTGTGTGTGTGTGTGTGTCTATGTATGAGGTGTGTGAGATGGTGTGTGTCTGTGATGGTGTACGTGTGTGTGCGAGTTGGTATGTGTGTGTGTGAGAGGGAGATGGTGTGTGTGTGTGTGTCTCTATGTATGAGGTGTGTGAGATGGTGTGTGTCTGTGATGGTGTACGTGTGTGCGAGTTGGTATGTGTGTGTGAGAGAGAGAGAGATGGTGTGTGTGTGTGATGGTGTACGTGTGTGTGCGAGTTGGTATGTGTGTGTGTGAGAGAGAGAGATGGTGTGTGTGTGTGTGTCTATGTGTGAGGTGTGTGAGATGGTGTGTGTCTGTGATGGTGTACGTGTGTATGCGAGTTGGTATGTGTGTGTGTGAGAGAGAGATGGTGTGTGTGTGTGTGTGATGGTGTACGTGTGTATGCGAGTTGGTATGTGTGTGAGTGAGAGGGATATGGTGTGTGTGTGTGTGATGGTGTACGTGTGTGTGCGAGTTGGTATGTGTGTGTGTGAGAGAGAGAGATGGTGTGTGTGTGTGATGGTGTACGTGTGTATGCGAGTTGGTATGTGTGTGTGTGAGAGAGAGATGGTCTGTGTCTGTGATGGTGTACGTGTGTGCGAGTTGGTATGTGTGTGTGTGAGAGGGAGATGGTGTGTGTGTGTGTGTGTCTATGTATGAGGTGTGTGAGATGGTGTGTGTCTGTGATGGTGTACGTGTGTGCGAGTTGGTATGTGTGTGTGAGAGAGAGAGAGATGGTGTGTGTGTGTGATGGTGTACGTGTGTGTGCGAGTTGGTATGTGTGTGTGTGAGAGAGAGAGATGGTGTGTGTGTGTGTGTCTATGTATGAGGTGTGTGAGATGGTGTGTGTCTGTGATGGTGTACGTGTGTATGCGAGTTGGTATGTGTGTGTGTGAGAGAGAGATGGTGTGTGTGTGTGTGTGATGGTGTACGTGTGTGTGCGAGTTGGTATGTGTGTGTGTGAGAGAGAGAGATGGTGTGTGTGTGTGTGATGGTGTACGTGTGTGTGCGAGTTGGTATGTGTGTGTGAGAGAGGGAGATGGTGTGGGTCTGTGATGGTGTACGTGTGTATGCGAGTTGGTATGTGTGTGTGTGAGAGAGAGATGGTGTGTGTCTGTGATGGTGTACGTGTGTGTGCGAGTTGGTATGTGTGTGTGTGAGAGGGATATGGTATGTGTGTGTGTGAGAGAGAGAGAGATGGTGTGTGTGTGATGGTATACGTGTGTGTGCGAGTTGGTATGTGTGTGTGTGAGAGAGAGATGGTGTGTGTCTGTGATGGTGTACGTGTGTATGGGAGTTGGTATGTGTGTGAGTGAGAGGGATATGGTATGTGTGTGTGAGAGAGAGAGAGATGGTGTGTGTGTGATGGTATACGTGTGTGTGCGAGTTGGTATGTGTGTGTGTGAGAGGGAGATGGTGTGTGTGTGTGTGTGTCTATGTATGAGGTGTGTGAGATGGTGTGTGTCTGTGATGGTGTACGTGTGTGTGCGAGTTGGTATGTGTGTGTGTGAGAGGGAGATGGTGTGTGTGTGTGTGTCTCTATGTATGAGGTGTGTGAGATGGTGTGTGTCTGTGATGGTGTACGTGTGTGCGAGTTGGTATGTGTGTGTGAGAGAGAGAGAGATGGTGTGTGTGTGTGATGGTGTACGTGTGTGTGCGAGTTGGTATGTGTGTGTGTGAGAGAGAGAGATGGTGTGTGTGTGTGTGTCTATGTGTGAGGTGTGTGAGATGGTGTGTGTCTGTGATGGTGTACGTGTGTATGCGAGTTGGTATGTGTGTGTGTGAGAGAGAGATGGTGTGTGTGTGTGTGTGATGGTGTACGTGTGTATGCGAGTTGGTATGTGTGTGAGTGAGAGGGATATGGTGTGTGTGTGTGTGATGGTGTACGTGTGTGTGCGAGTTGGTATGTGTGTGTGTGAGAGAGAGAGATGGTGTGTGTGTGTGATGGTGTACGTGTGTATGCGAGTTGGTATGTGTGTGTGTGAGAGAGAGATGGTCTGTGTCTGTGATGGTGTACGTGTGTGCGAGTTGGTATGTGTGTGTGTGAGAGGGAGATGGTGTGTGTGTGTGTGTGTCTATGTATGAGGTGTGTGAGATGGTGTGTGTCTGTGATGGTGTACGTGTGTGCGAGTTGGTATGTGTGTGTGAGAGAGAGAGAGATGGTGTGTGTGTGTGATGGTGTACGTGTGTGTGCGAGTTGGTATGTGTGTGTGTGAGAGAGAGAGATGGTGTGTGTGTGTGTGTCTATGTATGAGGTGTGTGAGATGGTGTGTGTCTGTGATGGTGTACGTGTGTATGCGAGTTGGTATGTGTGTGTGTGAGAGAGAGATGGTGTGTGTGTGTGTGTGATGGTGTACGAGTGTGTGCGAGTTGGTATGTGTGTGTGAGAGAGAGATGGTGTGTGTCTGTGATGGTGTACGTGTGTGTGCGAGTTGGTATGTGTGTGTGTGAGAGAGAGATGGTGTGGGTCTGTGATGGTGTACGTGTGTATGCGAGTTGGTATGTGTGTGTGTGAGAGAGAGATGGTGTGTGTCTGTGATGGTGTACGTGTGTGTGCGAGTTGGTATGTGTGTGTGTGAGAGGGAGATGGTGTGTGTCTGTGTCTATGTATGAGGTGTGTGAGATGGTGTGTGTCTGTGATGGCGTACGTGTGTATGCGAGTTTGTATGTGTGTGTGTGAGAGAGGGAGATCGTGTGTGTGTGTGATGGTGTACATGTGTATGCGAGTTGGTGTGTGTGTGTGTGTGAGAGAGGGAGATGGTGTGTGTGTGTGTCTATGTATGAGGTTTGTGAGATGGTGTGTGTGTGTGATGGTGTACGTGTGTATGCGAGTTGGTATGTGTGTGTGAGAGAGGGAGATGTTGTGTGTCTGATGGTGTACATGTGTGTGCGAGTTGGTATGTGTGTGTGTGAGAGAGGGAGATCGTGTGTGTGTGTGATGGTGTACGTGTGTATGCGAGTTGGTGTGTGTGTGTGTGTGAGAGAGGGAGATGGTGTGTGTGTGTGTCTATGTATGAGGTTTGTGAGATGGTGTGTGTCTGTGATGGTGTACGTGTGTGTGCGAGTTGGTATGTGTGTGTGTGAGAGGGAGATGGTGTGTGTCTGTGTGTATGTATGAGGTGTGTGAGATGGTGTATGTCTGTGATGGTGTACATGTGTGTGCGAGTTGGTATGTGTGTGTGTGAGAGGGAGATGGTGTGTGTGTGTGTCTATGTATGAGGTGTGTGAGATGGTGTGTGTATGATGGTGTATGTGTGTGCGAGTTGGTATATGTGAGTGTAGGAGGGAGATGGTGTGTGTGTGTCTATGTATGAGCTGTGTGAGATGGTGTGTGTGTGTGAAGGTGTACGTGTGTGTGAGAGGGAGATGGTGTGTGTCTGTGATGGTGTACGTGTGTGTGCGAGTTGGTATGTGTGTGTGAGAGAGGGAGATGGTGTGTATGTGTGATGGTGTACGTGTGTATGTGAGTTGGTATGTGTGTGTGTGAGAGAGGGAGATGGTGTGTGTGTGTGAGAGGGAGAGATGATGTGTTTGTATGTGAGTGAGTCAGAGACCTCCTGAAAGTGGTTTGTTCACAGATGGTAGACAGACATACAGACATACAGTAAGTACTGGAGCATTTCCCCTACATACTTTGTTAAGTGTGATAACAATGTTCTTACTTTAAGCATAAATAAAAAAACGTTCCTGCAACCTGAATCTAAGACTGGAAGCGGCCCCAGTTTACAAGTTACATTATAGAAAGTATAACAAAAACTGACATACAAGTTCTGCATCTTCATTAAAAAGTTCTGATTAATCAGACAGTGAATACTTCTTTTCTTGTAATAAAATGAAGACAGCTCCAGTTTACCAGAGTCTTAGAAACAGATTTTAGCCGATGATATCCGATATTGTGGAGAAAGGAATCAAAGCTGGCAATGTCTTGTCTCCAGTTGGATAGGAGAGAAGCTCACATCTGAGAACACACATTATCTTCCCAGGAGAGCTGCACGCAATGCTCTCAAGGCTCAGCAAATCTAATAGGTTTTATGCATGTTCAATAGTTTCAATCTGTTGTTTCTGGAAAAAAAATTACGTCC